CATAGTCATAGGCATAGATATACATACACATTTAAATAAAGGTACGATATTATGAGCTCTTCTGGTGATTAAAAAAAAAGTGTAAGGTCCTTTGAGTATGGTTTACATTGTGCTTGTAATAGATTTTAATCAAAACACAACGAAATGCAAGTTTTTCATCTGAACTTGATTTCTTCCATAGTATATAAATTAAGAAAGGAACAAATCGACCTCTCAACAGGAGAGGTCAAGGGAGGAGATTCCAGGGAAAGGACTCATCCTGGATGACAGGGAAGTTTGGTGGTCTTTTCAAGTGTGCTGCACAGAATGAGACACATGGGAGAAAATGACACTTCAGGGAAAGGAAAGGTGGTGAAAAAGAAAAAGTTTGCAAAATTAAGAACAGAAAACATGAGGATGTCAGTACTAAGGCAAAATTCTTTTGGAGAAGATGGGAGGGAAGAGACAAGGGGGAGAGATGAATACCATTGTATTAGTGAAAGATAAAGGGAAATGTTTAACCTTGAGCCATTAGCTAGTGTTATCAATCATAGTCCCCAATTTTTATCTGTTGTTGACCTATTTTCATTTTCTTTGAGCTCTTTTGGGAAGAAAGATATCTTTTTGAAGCCTCTACTACCTTTCATCATTTAATGATTGCTTCTATTTTTCAGCATTTACTAAAAAAAAGGCTGTTTTTCAGCCCTGGGAATGCACTGGCATTAAAGGTGACAAACAGAAGCTGCACTTTGAGCTCTTCCAAAAAGCACTTCAGAAATCAAAGGCATTGCTATGTTGTTACTATTCATTCTCTCCTTTCCCTGAAGGCTTGGCATGACATTATTTCCGATCCTCAAAGAGAAGTCTTCTCATTTAGCCATTATACTAATAATCTGTGACCCCAAAAAAGCAATGGATATAGAAATTGATCAACCTAGCCTAGTAATCTCCTCTTTCCCTTAGTTCCAGAGCTATGGATCTGAGCCAAGAATCAGAAATAGGAGCATTGTAACTCATTTCATCTTCCATGTAAATCATATCCAGCAATGCATAAATTGTGAGGGAGGGCATAGAGCCAAGCCCCATCAGCTCTGTGCAAACAGATCGACAAGCTCAACAGGCATTGATAGCATGAGATGTTAATTCATGAATAATCCTTCCATGTTTTTACACCGTTATATAACCAGTTGCTTTTTATAATGATATTGGAATAATTAATAATTGGAATGATGAGTTGAGGACAAAAATATGAAGTTATTTTAAAAATAAGTAGTAAATACATCTAAGAAAAGTACCAGTTGTTCTTCATCAAGACAAAATTGGATGGATCTTAACAACACTCAGAAAAAGATAATAACTAGGAGAACTCCTACTTAACATTTCCCCACTTACATAGCTCCTTATATCAAAGGTATCACCCATACGGAATTATCTAATAGCAGCCTGAGGGGAAAGACTATTTTTAACTCCAAATGTAATTCATACATGGCAGTCCATGTAATTGGAAGTCATCTGTAGATGAGCAGGCTCTAAAATAAAACACTGTAACAGTAGGTGAATGTGATTACAAGTTGTGGCTCCTCAACATGTTCAGTAATTTGATTTAGTCATAGATAGGTAGACAGATAGACAGATATAGATGATAGATAGATATATAGATAATAGATAGATAGATGATAGATAGATAGATAGATAGATAGATAATGTAATGGCAGGTATAAATAAAAGCAACTCAAGCTCTTTGTGTCTATTGACCAACTAGAGTTTCTTTACATCCTGACAGAGCTCACAGAAATTATCGTAAAAAAAAATGTATTTCTAAGTATATCCCTTACTTGGAAATGAAACAGATGTTAGAAGTCTGCATGGTAGATGACAATTTTAGAAAATAAACAAATCTAATATTAAATAAGCACATAGTTTAATAATATTCTCTTTTCCAATAGTCAGAATTAGAAAAACAGATCCCACTGAAACATGAAAATGTTCCGGAAGTTAAGACATAAAAACATCTTTGGTTACCTGAAAAGTAAACTAAATAGGAGGCCTGTTTTTGTTTCTGAGTTAGTGATGATATAGATTAGAGAGCATGTTTCTTTAAAGACCAGAGTGCAGGCTCCATGTTTTGTTCACTGATATATCCCAAGATCCTAGAATAATATCTGGCACATGGCAGTGTTTATTATTTATTAAATTGAATTGTTGCTGGCATTCATAACATGAAAATTGTAGAATAAGGTGTCCTCCACCTGATCTATCATTTAGTTTTAACTATTACTCTCAAAAAAAGATAAAAGTAGAAAACACTCATTTGTCACTTAATGTTAGGAACAACTTGCCACGCATATCCTCATCCACTTCTCTGGGTTCTGCACAGCCTGGAGGCAGCTGGGCACCAGGAGCCCACACTGCAACCCCTGTCTGATGCCTGACACTATTCTTAGCTGCTGTCACTGTTAAGGGTTAAGCTATGTCTCCTCTGCCCCAAAAATTCATATGTTGAAGTCCTAATCCACAATCTCTCAGAATGTGATCTTACTTAGAAATAGGGTGATTGCAGATATCATTAGTTAAGTTAGGATTAGGTCATACTGGAGTAGGATAGACATATGATTAGCTGCTTTATAAGAGAGGGAAATTTGGACTCAGGCAAGCACACAGGGAGAAGGTCATGTGAAGATGAAGACAGCGATCAGGGCAATGCTTGTACCCGCTGGGCAATGTCCGTGATTACCAGGAAACCACCAGAAGTTAGGGGCCCCCTCACAGCCCTCAGAAGGAACCACCCCTGCTGAACCCCTGACTTTGGACTTCTGGCCTCTGAAGCTATGAGGCAATAAATTCCTGTTGATTAAGCCATCTAGTGGCACTTCATGGCAGTTCGCAGCACCCAGCTTGTGGCATTCATTTCTTCTGCTGTAAGCAACCCTAGCAATCTAATACAGCCACCTACTTACTCCCAGCAGTTTGTCAGATGTCCTGCCAGGGTACTAGTAGCCCTGACCTTACTCCCACTGGACACTCTCTTGCACAGGGCTGAGAGTTCCCAAGATTGTCTCCCATTTATCCCAAAGCATCCACAATTATATGTTGTCAATGTCTGACATGTTCTTCTATCCAATAGCACAGTAATTACACCTGACACCTTTCCCTTACCGTCTCCTGGCTTCTGTGCTTGAAGAGGCATTGTAACCTGGAGGGGACGGTGGAAACCAGGACTGCCTGTAAAGAAATGACATGATAATAAACATGGTGCTTGAAAGGCCGATCACACCCACGTGTCTGAAAATAATTTGACAGTTAAAAAGGCAGTGAGATTATACCAAGCCTTGGAAGTAAAATGAACACTATTTCATAAATGAAGTAGGACGTAACTGTCCTATATTCTAGGCTATCTGTTCCTCCAAGTAAACTTCTTTTCTCATTTCCTTTGGCACTGAGTAATGTGGACACTTCTTTTAAAAAGAAATCTAAAGCAAGCCTGGAAAATAATGACAATTGTTAAATCTAGAGAGCAAATTCATATGTTTATCATGTTACTCTTCCTATTTTTCTGTATGTCTGAACTATTTTATAACAGAAATAACAATCTCATACTCTACTCAAAATATAATTTTTTAAAAACTGTGATAGAAAACTTCAGTTCTAACCTCAATTGGGAAGATGTCCTGATATCACTAGGACATAAATTTAATTGGTAGTAATAGCTAAGCAGAAAGACCAAGATATGGATGAAGACTGAAGATATTCAGATGAGAATGATACACACTACAGAAGGAAAGGCATACAGGAAATCGGGCTTTAAATTCTTTAAGTGGGTCTATTCTCTGAGTCACCACAGAACTGAACTAAGACAAGGTAGGAGTCAATCAAGGCAGATTCCAATTCAATGTAAAGAATAGATGCTATCCAGACAGGCAAGTCGAAGATGTGTCCCAAAATAGTGAGTCTTATTGCTGGCTTCAGTGGCCCTGAATTATGCCTCAAATGTCAGAGGAAATATTCTTACACTAGGTAGGAGATTGAACTAAGTGACCTAAAATTTCTCTTTCAAACTTAGGAATCTGTTTTCACCAGCAAAGAGTCAAGGGTTGTGAAATGTAGGTTCCAGGGAAAGATGAGCCACATTTTCTGAGACGTTGCAGCTACAACAAAACCTTATTGAAGGAAAAAATAGAATCAGTCATTTTTCTCTGGCAGCACCATGGCAAAGTCAGCCAGTCCATCAACAAACATTGAGCACCTACCCTATATGGAGCATGGACCCAGGTGCAGACAGGGAAATTGAGAAAATTTAAAAGCAATGACATTTATAAATGCTTGTTTTCCATTTGCATCACAATTCATAGCCCTGGGGTTTTTTCAACATGGCAAATATCTCTTCCACCATCATGTTCTGTGTCATGAAGATTATTTGGTCACCACTGGTCCAACTACTTCTCTGTGCCTGCTAATGGCATAGGACTCAGCACCAGCAGAATGTGGTAGACCATGCAGGGGAGGTCAGAGGAAGAGGCAAGAATCACACAAATACAGATGGATGTCTCCAGACAGGGTCTTTGACTCTGTGTTTGGAAGCAAGGTCAGCCCAATCCACAGAGCAGAGGCATCGGCTCCAGATACAGGCTGGTTTCAGAAGCATGGAAACATGTGGCCCTACATCCATCATTATTTAAGGTTAAGGCATTCCCAGCAGCAGGGCTCCGTGAAACATGATACCTCAAGTAGTCTGTCGTTTAACATGTAAGCTCTATCATCTAAAACATTTCGTAGAAATTCAAGCTCCTAACGGAACTGAAAATAAGACTTTATATTTGAGAAAGAGATTGTTGGGGGAAAGAGCTGAAGTTTGGGAACAGCAGAATGTAGAAGCTGGATCCCTGGGAAAAAGAGGAGGAAGCTTTCTAATGCTGCCTGGGAGTTTGGTGGATGACTTGGTTCAGAAATTAAAGAACAGTCTTTCATAGTGGATCAGCAAGAGGTAGACACAATGAACTCATTGTACCTTTTTTTCTTTACAGGAGTAGTAGCAGAAGTGGATGCTATGGTGTTGGAAGTGTTTGCATTCAACGAACCACCAGGTTGCCTGTTTAATGACAAGAACAACAATTAATCACACTCTTAAACATTTCCATTTCACCCCACCTTTGAAAAGTCTTAACATCTACTCATATTCCTGCCTGCTCTCTGTTCATCACAAAATGTTTCACTTGGGGATGGAAAAACAGCCAAAGATCTTCTTCCTAAGTTGACTTCCTTAGTTTAGAAGTTGTCAGGTTTTCATATAACTAGCTAAACCTAAAGGAATAGGAAAAAGAAGTGATTCATAAAATGACATTAACTGTCGGAAATTCTGACCAATCCATTCTGATGTGCTACAGATTCACATTTCTTTGATTATATTATGACTAACTACTTATGTTTTTTGCATTAGAAGCATTATTGCTTAGGAAAACATTTTAAATCATACAATCTTAAGTCTCCATCTAGCATTTATTCATATATGCAGATGCTCAAAAAATGGAAGTGACCCAGGCCCATTTCAAGCTCTGAGAGGTATGATCCAGTGTATAAATTACTTTATACATAAATAGGAATTCAAAAACAAAATAAGTTTATAAATCTGTCTGATTTGGGCTGCTTATAACCACCAGTAGTACACTCCAGAGAAAATGTATTTCATTTAAACCGATTTTTAGCTCACCCTATGATTTCCCAATTCAATTTTCTCTGAAGGAGGAGGTGTAAATGTGAAGGGTAGGTGGGGAAGGAAGTGAGGTGTGAAGGAAGGGCTAATTATTGTGGGAGTAGGGGGAAGAAAATTCCTGTGGGGGAAAATATAAGGAGTCTAGATTTTAATAAAGAAGAAGAAAGAAAGGATGACCTAACCTTTGGTGTTTGGTTAGAGTAATGATTGGCAAACCTTTTTTCTGCAAAAGTCCAGGGAGTCACAATGGAACCTTTGCAGACCATTTTGGCATCTGTCTTCTACTACTCAACTCTGCCAGGACAATAGGGGCATGGCTGTGTTCCAGTAAAATTGGCCTACGGGTGGTATACCCTGGTTTTTCTTGAACACATACAAAGAAATATACTACAATTAGAAAGAATACATACAACTTTGTTACTCCCGATGATCTAAACGTGGACATGCTCCTGGTAAGAGAGAAAGAAAGCGAAGTTTTAACAATGAAGAATGAATATTTGCATCTACTTGGAATTATTCTTGAATATAGAGTTATTAAAAGTTAGACATTGGTTGAGACAAATAGAAAGCATCATATTTGAATAAATTTAATGAGATGATTTCATGATTTTGTTTCTTGTACTAGATTCCAAAGAAAATTTTTTTCTTCTGAAAATTCAGCATCTTTTAAGCCCAGTGTTTTTATTTGTTGGTTTCAGTAATTTTCCTTGACAATAATAATGTAAAATTTGCATTTGTACGTATTTCATAATTTTGCCACCAGGACAACTTAAACAGAAACATAAATGTGGTAAGAATGGTGATTTGGAGCTATAAGTGCTCTTGATTTTTAAGCTAAACAACAAAGTTTCATTCTAGCCATGTACAGGAGTAATGATTTTCACTCCTGAATTTCTGCAATAAAAATATCGAGACTAAGAATTTACAGAAAGATATCACGTAGGTTTGAAGACTTGCAAGTACATAGGTAACACTTAGAAAAATATTATACTTGAGCCTTTCCCATAGTTAGTAGATACTGGTACCTATTGGTTAGTTGGTTATCCAAGGTATTGGCCTTATATGTTTTAGCAGCGTCCTTTCTGTCTGAGATCCTTTATAAAGAAACAAAACAAAAGTCTGGATAAACATTTAAGTTATCAAACACCTTTCAGACCTTCTTCATGCTAGAATAACTTAACAACATAGCCTTTCTCCAGTAAAGAGAACCATTGTTCAAGTGTTATATTTTAGAAAATTTTAAAATACAAGGAAACTACTTATGACAAAATCTACTTATAAGGTTGTTTTAATATAGTTTGAAATTTTATTTTATGTTGTTTTATTTTGTTTTGTTTTGTTTTGGTGAGCTGGAGTCTTGCTCTGTTGCCCAGGCTGGAGTGCAGCAGCATGATTTCAGCTCACTGCAACCTCCACCCACAGGGTTCACGCTATTCTCTTGCCTCAGCCTCCTGAGTAGCTGGAACTACAGGCGTGTGCCCTGATTCCCAGCTAATTTTTATAGTTTTAGTAGAGACAAGGTTTCACCATGTTGGCCACACTGGTCTTGAACTCCTGACCTCAGGTGACCTACCTGCCTCCCCCTCCCAAAGTGCTGAGATTACAGGCATGAGCCACTGCACCCGACCTGAAATATTAAAAGTGTTATGCCTTTTGCCTGTCTGTCTTTCTGACTCATTGAGCATTTAACTCATTAACTATTTTCATTTACATTATTGTCTAATGATGTATCTTGTCAATGACTACTTCCTATGTCAGTGAAAGGCATCAACAAAATACTTAAATTTTTTTAATGGTTTGTGGCATAAACAATATTATGTGTTTGCCAAACATATTTTCCTTTCTTTCTGAGCAATCAGGGACACCACATTTCCTAACTTTCGTTGCCATTAAGTTGGGACCATGTGATTGAGCTCTGGACTAAAGAGTGTGGGCAGACATGTTATCTGCCACTTCCGAACCCATTGTAAAACCTCCTAGTGATCTTCCATGTTCTTTCTCCCCTCTTCTACTATGGCTTTGGTATGCATGGGTTAAAGATGGCAGCATTCAAATACAGAAAGAACTTAGGTCCTTGAGTCACTTGATGGACTCCAGCAAATTACATTGGGCTCTGATGAGTCAAGCAATACCTTATAGTGTGTTAAACCATCTAGAAGAGGAGGGGGACTTGTTAAAAAGTTACTCTACCTTGACAAATTAGTTTACTTTGACTAATACATGTAATGAGTCTAAATTGTCATTAGAAATTTTAATCATGCTAATCTCATAGATCTAGAAAAGGTGTGTTTGTTTGCTTTTTGTGTCAGAAAGCACAAATAAGGAAGGTTATCATTCTATACCAATGGTGGGGTCTCATAACTTCAGCCTCTGTTTCTTCTTTCCTTGTCTCTTACCTACTGCTTTTTGCTGGTCATTTGATATTCTTTTCTCTACTCTCCAGAACATCCCTACAAGGTAAGTGTAATGATTTTCATTTTATAGGTGAAAGAAATGGAGTCTCAGAGTCATTTGTGTGGTTTTCTCTTGGCCACACAAGTAGAAAGTAGTCTATCTCCCAAGTTGTTCACTGAGATCCAATGTCATATATCTGATTCTGTAGTATGATTGTTCCCCAAACTCATATATTAGGTTAACATGCCTTCCTTTAGTCTTTGTTCTTCACCTCTCACAAGCTCTTTCATGCCACCCAGGGGAAAAAAATCTATCAATGGTAATAGAACTCTAAACAACCATTCCAATACATATGTTGATTTCTTATTGCTGGGGGAGATTAATTTTGTATTTATCCTGGAAATTAAATTTTCTGTCAACTTGTGATATAAAATAAGTGGTTTTAATAAAAATCGGTCTTGGAGACTTGAAATACCAAACAATGTAATTAGCAACATGATCAGAAGAGCCAAAGGAAAAGTTATACTTTCACAACAGAGCACTAGGGGGCCTCCTAACCTAGGTTTTACAAATTAGTTATAACCCACCATCTTTGCATGCTATATACACATTTACGTTTCTTTTGCGCACCTCGTCTTTTACCCACATAAGCATATTTTAAAGTGAACTTTTCAAATGTAAACTCAGTACTTTTCTCATATTCATCAAAACAAGGGTATCATTATTAAAATGCAAATGCACACATACCAGATATATTTGATCATCTTCCTCCTAAAATTATGCCACGTCTTAGATTTTGGAGTGGTCTGTATTACAGAAGTTCAGCTCCTGCTAACAGGACTTGCCTTTCTTTACTGATCCCTGTGTTCCCTTCCTCAAGTCCATTTCCACATTTAGTGCCTTGGGAATGAGCTTCCAGGATACTGTTCCCAAGCATATCACTAAATTGTGTAAATAAATCATGTAATCTCTGGGCGTGTTTCTAGGGTATAAAATGAAGGGCTTGGGCTATATTGGTGGTTCTAAATCTCAGCTGCACATAAGAATTACCTTATAAGATTGAAAAAAAAATGCTTGAGTTCCACCTCTGGCTAACAAAATCAGATTTAGGGGAGTGAGAGGTAGTAGGACTAAGGCACAAACAAAGTTTAAGAGTCCCCTCAGTGGTTCTAATTTATCACTGAGGCTGAGAATGACCTAACTACATTGCCTGCGAGGTCTAGTCTATTTCCAACATTCCTAGGCTGTATCTCGGCTGGCCTAATATAAATGTTCAGACACACGGCCTACAAAAGCTTAGGTCTTCCCCCTTACTTGAGGTTCAATTATCTCACTTTAAAATTCATTCCTAGAAATGGGGTTTCCTTCTGCAATTAACCATCTGCAAGATCAGGATGAATGGACAGAAGTATTTTATCTACCTCTTCTCTATGCCCCGCTGTAGAGATGAGATCTTGCATATATACTACAGACTCATTTTTGACAAGGATGATAATTTTTAAAAGAGAAAGACCAACCCTTTAGGATCCCAGCCTTGACTGTCCTCTATTAGGATGACTGACATGAAAGCCTAGGAATAGTGCAGAAGGTATATACATTTGCTGTATTAATCAACACTGGCATAGTCTGAGTTTAGAGTCTATTGGATGCTGCAAGTTAACACATATTTGCTTAAAACCCAGTAGGTGCCATTTTTGCCTACAATTGCAGCACATCTTTAGCTGCAGGGAGTAAACTCAACTTTGGTTTTGGGTATTCATGGTGTCTAGACTCCTATTAAAGATGCGAACTTTGTCCTTTACTTATGCTTACTAAGCATCTCTACCAAATCTAAACTAAAAATGTGATTTGTGTTGGGAGACCACAGCTAGCAAATCACTAGGTCAAGAGATTGAGACCATCCTGGCCAACATGATGAAACCTCGTCTTTACTAAAAATACAAAAATTAGCTGGGTGTGGTGGCGCATACTTGTAGTCCCAGCTACGCCGGAGGCTGAGACAGGAGAATCATTTGAACCCGGAAGGTGGAGGTTGCAGTGAGCAGTGATCACGCCACTGCACTCCACCTGGAGAGAGAGTGAGACTCTGTCTCAAAAAAAAAAAAAAAAACAAACAAAAAACAAAAACAAAAACAAAAATGTGATTTGTGGCATTTATACTTCAACCTGAATAAAAGTTGCTCTATTTTCCCTGTAGAGATGAGCCCTTTCCCTCCATGTAAGAAGGATCTAACAGGCACACACATTGGACTCATTCTATCCACCCTATGGGGACTCCAGGGCTGAAAGAGTATTTTCACTTTCTAAAGTAAAAGTAAAGATCTAATATCTCTGTCCTAGAGTAGGTTGAAACTATTGTACTATTAAAATTTACAGTCTCTCCATAAAGCAGTTGCACAGACTGATGTTTTCCTACCATCCTTGTGGAAGAACCAAATGTTGGAACAAGGATTACACGTATTCACACACAAAAAACCTATATTCTCCATTTTAAATTGAACTAATGGATTCCGCGTAGTACCCACCCTAGCTGTACTCAAATCAGTGTCTCTAAGAATTTTTCATATCAATCTACTATTAGCAAAATTTTAGAAATGCATCTTGTCAAGATTTAGTGAGATTTGAAGAAGGTAATTCAATTCTTAGAGCCCTCCATCCCTTGGAATAAAATACCAATGGTTCAAACCTTATTTTGATAAACTTTTAAATATTTCATAACTTTATGAGAAAAGGAATTTAGTATGTTATGCATTCCACTTACATGGTTCAAAAGCACCTTACCTGTCTAAAGTGTCATCAGAACTATATCGACTGATTGTAGCTTTTGGCACATTTCTCTCATTTATTTTCCTGTAGCAAAAATAATTACCAAAAAATTAAATAAATTACAAAAAATAGTTTATAAAACCTATCATACATATAGCAATATTTTGACCTATTAGGAAATTTACATGTTACCAAGGAAAGATAGATTTGGAGTACCCAATTCTTGCAACTTGGATAGAATAAATTATGGAAAATCTAATTTCCTATGCTAATAAAAGATTCTTCTCTGGCTTCAATTATTTCTAAGAACAATGTAATATATTCAAATTGGGAATTAGGATACGTAAAACATACAACACAACAAACACAACACGCAAAATGGTTAATAACTAATATGTACTCTTGTCAATGTTGTTTATTTCTACATAATAGGAACTCAATCTTTTATACTCGACTATA